GCTGGGTGCTCCGAAATCCGCTAGGAGGGTCACGTTCACATTCAGGACCGATGTGACCCACTTCCTTACAGTGAGGACAGGTGGCTTTGCCGCGGCGACAGTGAATTCGACTACACCCCAGAGTGTGACACCGACCGCACACGAGAAGACCATCTTGGGTTCGCAAGTCCGGACCCACACGAACGCCCCTGCTAGGCGTAATAGGAAGCGTTCCGGTAGGTTGATAGTGCAGAGAGGGGCTCGGATCAGGAGGAGAGTAGGCAGCAGCTACATTCATCGCCGGGGAAGCATAGGCGGTCGTCAGGGGATGCTCCATCAACTGCTGTTGCTGTTGAAGTTGTTGCTGTTGCTGCTGAGCGAGTAGATTCTGCGTCTGCTGCATCATGTATATCATGCGTTCGAGGACAGCGTTCTCTTGGGAAGCTTTAGGGGACGGCACATTGTCGAACTCGGAGTCGTCTTCAACCGGACGATGCATATTCCTAAGGAGCAACATGGCCACAGCCGCAGGGATGGAGTCAATCATTGTCGTGGTGAGAGCGCTCCTCCAATCTCGGTTCCGAAGTCCAGACAAGAAGTACTGGTAACGCATCTGAGTGTCGTAGCACTGAGCATCATCGCAGAGACTTGAAATCATGTCGCCCCACACTTCGGCGGACATTCCCCTGGGTCGTTTAGTGTTCTTCAGGTTCTCAATCAGTTGCAAAGGGGTCTGACTGATGAACTGGTTGTGGAACCGAGTTCTCAGAGCCTCAAAGCTGTTGATGCGCGGGTACATCCACCAATCTTCACCGACCTTGCCTTTCAGGCACTCCCTGAAAGCGCTAAGACGCAGGGGTTCGTCCAGCCCGATAGTGGCGTTCTCGAAGGCCTCCCAGAAGGATCTAGCTTTCTCCACCGACGCTCCTTCCGAGTAAAAGGGTTGCAGCATGCGAATAGCGTTTCGGATGTTAGTGGGCATACCATACTGGCCACTAGTAGTCGAAGGCGTATTACCAGACGTAGGCGAGGAGTAGTAGGAGTTACCTCCATATTCCCCATACGCAAGACCTGATGGGTTCCGGCAGAAGCCGTAGCTCCTCCGTTTCCTTGTGAAGCTCGGGTTGTTCTCGTAGGGTCGACTCCGTACGCGACTCCACTGGTAATCGAAGTTCGAGACCCCGGGTCTTGGGTAGGAATTTGAACGGTAGGCGACGAGGGCTGGAAAGGAACCCTCTGAGGAACGGGAACGGTTACTGCTGGAGCGTTCTCCCCGCCATCTCGCAAGTTACCCGAGGGCTGGAGACCCCAAGGAGGAGCGTTAGAGGTCCTCGGAGGAATACTTGCCGGGAAGCACGTCCACCGTTTTCAGGGACAGTTTGTAGGGAGAAGAACGGGCTGAAGTCCTGCCCATATGACGTATTCGGGGTTCGGATTGTGAAACCTTGGTACGACGGGATTTCTTTCCTTACTCGAGTCGTAGGAGGGGGAGTCCCCACGAGACCGTTCCCACCGGTTCTCTCCATAGCGGCGGCAATTTCAGGAGGGGCCATGGATCTCAACCAGTTGAGGGAGTTAAGCTAGCCTTGCACCGTACCTCGGCCGCCTCCGCCGTTCAGGGTCAGCATCGAGTCCAACTCTTCCGAAGTGAAGGTCGCAGGGACCCCGGAGCCCAAAGCGTCCGCGGGTGGCTCGACACCAGCACAAGAGTTGTTCCCCCCAAGTCGGTTAGCCGCTTGATCTACGATATTCTGCACGTTTTGGAGGCCTTGCGTAGTCGACAGACTGGGTCGCATCCTCGAAGGCAGACTCCCAGTCTGGCCTTCCTTCTCTCGGATAGTGGCGCTCTCATCTTCTCTGTTGCTAGTAGCCGACATCTTGTCCTTCCTTCTGACGCTCTCCGCGAGACTTCACTTGGAACAAGACCTTCTCCAGCAAGCAGACTACCCTGCTTCTCCACCAGATGCTGTATACCTCCTCTTCCGTCAAGGGTCGGGTAGTCCGCGGCTGTTCAGGGAGTACGGTCTTGTTCAGTGGCTGCAGGAACGGTAGATAGGAACACTAGAGAGTTAAAAATAAAAGTTTGCTGATTGGCTTGGCTTCCTCTTGAGTAGAAGGAGGGAAATATAAGACTGAGAGCTAACCGGAAGAGAGGTCTAACACCTTCTCGGCCTAACATACACTACACTTCATATTAAAAAAAAAGGAAGGATTCACTTCGTTTGTTGTCGGCCTTCGTGGGACAACGGAGAGCTTCTGGGAAGGGACTTGATGTCGCGAGGTGCTTTTGGTCCCACGACGCCAAGACACCGGCGTTCTGGGGCCCCCTTATAGGACCACCCTAACGGGCTCGGTCAGGGGCACGTGCGTTGTTGGGTTCAACGGGATCCACCCTAACGGGACGGCTGGACGAGGAGTGATTCCAGGGTCTCGAGTCATCCCGACGGGAGGCAGAGCTCCTGGAATGACCCCTCCGTTCCCGGGTACGGGACACATTGCCTTGAGAATGACGGCGTAGACGGAGCTCCTCTGCTTGATCTCGTCCCGGAAAAGGGCATAGCGAGCCACCATCTCGAACGTGAAATGCTACCGCATGTGGCCGGGCGCAGGCAGTACATGCACATGCGGCGCGGTTGTTGATCGTGCACAGCGTTGCCATCAGCGTACTGGTTGAGTCTACCTCAGTGTTGTAGTCAATCAAATAGATGCTAGGAGACGCTCGGCCAATCCGAGGCATGACGCAGTAGCTTGATTAATAGCGCCATAATCACCAAACAGGTACGCCATGCCTGATTACGATAGGTGGATAGCTCCTGGTTTTATTAATACATGCGCAATTTGATTGGGCCGTCAGTTCACCTTTCTCCATCAGCGTAATGACGAGGAGCCCTAGCTTGACCCGAACCTTGTGAAAATACACCCCATTGATAGTCACGCTGCTTTCCAGATAAAAAAGAGAAGGTTTGAACATAAAGCCATATTGGTCTGACTTATCGCCGCTAATCACGAGTCACAGATTTCTGGACCATGTGATTAGCTGATCAAACCTACCTGCCAACCGTGAGAACCACTAGTAAGATTATTTGACTAGTGTGCGGAGCGCGTACAATTAGCTAAAAAAATTCTTCAGTGCTTGGAGATTTTCTTAATATCAATAGTACAGTGCCCACGGTAGTTAATCACGCTTATTAATACATGTACAGTCATGCACCTCCAATTCGGCAGGGCGGACCATATCAACAGTGCCAGGGCATAAGTGCACAGCGTAAAGCAAAAAACAAACGCAAATCCAGTGCACTTCTATTTTATTTGTTAATTCAGTACCAAATATACGCCAATCTTCTGCAAAATCTTGGCGTCAGACGCGCGAATCGAGGGCGCGCAACAGCGTTTCCGGTCGCGATAGGCGTCCGGCAAGGCGGCAACTTCCGCGGACCGCTTAAGAATACTCTCGACGGTAGTGCGCTTTACTGCTTGGGTCCCCCAAGTTGGTAGGTCTTAAAGCGCTCCGTTGCCCAACGAGCAAGTTCGAAGTGAGAGCATGCAGGATCTGACTTGTGCTTCTCGCACAAAGACTGCTTTTGTGGGACATGTAGGAGGAAGGGCGATGTCCCATTGTATTTGGCGGTAAAAATCAAAGTGTGTGTTTGTATGAAGACGTCCGATCCAAAATTTAAACTCAGATCGATGCGGCGTGTCATCCCTCGGCGACGAGGGGAAAACCGTTGAGGTTAATTGCTAGGGTGGTGATGGGCAAAGGTAATTGCGCATCCGATTCGCGTAATCATAAAATCTGGCAGGGTATCGACTGATACCGGTGCCGAATTGAAGGTGCACGACTGTATATGCGGATGGGTAAGCCTGAATAAACATATATATTTTAAATTTCGAAAAGACGGCCAAAAATTTCCATGGAACGAACGTTAGGTTTGTTATAAAACCGAGAAAACTCTGCGAAAGTGATTCTTCTCTTTTTTTGTCGCCAACGTCATGTCCACGGCTGCTTAAGTTTAGTCTCGCCGTCATTCTCAAAAACCTCTTCTCGACGAGATGCCTCTGCCAAATATTCCTTTCGCGTATCCAATTATTCTACAATCCGTACGCACTCACAAGAATCTTCAATGTCCTCACGGATCGAAGAATGCGCGCTGTCTGCAAGACAATCGTGATTATTACGAGCAGATTTGTCTACACCACGGAAATCACGAAGAAAAGGTCGCCATCCAGTCTGTCTATAACAAGCGATTTCTTACGGTTCTCTCGACTGGTGCGTGTAATTTCGAAGCGACACAATTCGGTCCTCGCGAATATTTCAAAATGGAGACAGATTCAGAGTGTTCTCTCTTTTTTGTGTCGTGTCAAACGGGAAATGTGCTACAATGTGGGGTCGACGGCGTCGTCAAGTGCACCAACAAGAATTATCAACGCAACGAGTCGTGGCGGATCCTGGAGCCTCGTGTGGGTTTAGTAGATCACTCGGATCGCCCAAAACCTCGTATATGTTGAATACGACTACGATCAGACGTGCGGGTTTCATTAAGTAAAACTGCGGATCACAATTTTTTTCTTCCGTTTGTCGGGTCAGTTCACGTAACAGCGAGGGGAATGTAAGTTTCATTCTGAATGCTTTCTTCTATAGATTTCCATCTGTCCTAGCCAGTCATATTGCACAATGTACAGTAGAAGCCACCTTTGGCACTCTCCTTCTTCATCGCACTTGCCATTTTGAGCTCATCTGATCAGCACACCCAAAGCTTCGCCATGGATCTAACCGAGATTCCGTTTAACTCATCAGTGATCCTTCAGTCAATCCGCAAAGGAAAAAGCTTGCAGAACCCGCTTGGCTCCAAGAAGGCTCGCTGTTTAACCGACAACCGCGATCGCTACGAGCAAGTGTTCTTACATCGTGTCCGTGACGACAAGATCGCCATCCAGTCAGCTCACAATGGACGCTTCCTCCAAGTTCGTGCAAATGGAGAGTGCGTCTTTGACCCTAAAGAGCCTGGCGAGTGGGAGCTCTTCACCATGGAGACGGACTCGAGCTGTGCGCTGTACTTTGTGTCGTGCCACACGGGGAATGTCCTTCATTGCAACGACAGCAATGAAGCCAGGTGTGCAAACCAGAACCGTCAAGACTGGGAGGCGTGGAGGATCGTGGAGCCCCGTATAAATTCAATTGCCACCCACCCGCAGCGAGCTGTGGATCACCGCTACGTCCTTGTGGGCAAAGACCGTCAGCACTTGGTTCTGGAGCTCGCGAGATGCGGGAAGACACCGACCGAGATCGAGCAAATTGTGACGAGCCTGTTTGATGCTCCACTTGCCATAGCTTCAGGCTCGGCTCTTGCTGTTCAAGTCGACAAGGAGTAGGCAAGGCAGATGCTGGATTTCTTCCATACATCTTGCATTCATTTACTGTTTATGGATGGCACCACGTTTAACAGCAAAAAATCTCGCTGTGCTCAAGGCGGCCTTATACGGAGAAGCTAGGAGAATCGTCATGACTTTTAACCTTATCTTGATCATCTTTTCAGTTTCACCAACATTTTGTTTTGTGGTATTTAACAATTATTACTAGGCGGGGCACGATGATACCATACATACAAGTCAGCACTTGGGAACCAAGTGGGTCGGCGAATTTCTCTGTCGTGAACTTAGGCCGTGTTCGGCTTGGAGGGCTTGTTCGAAAATAAGCTAGAGCTGTAGAATAGTCGTTTTGCTAAGTAAAATAAAGATAAAATAAGTGATCGTGTTCCCCAGAAAAAGACTGGATTTGAAGGCGCAAAGCAGGACGATTCAAAATTCAACCCAGAGCTAAATTTTGAAACCAGTCGTTTGGAGCTATCCTGCTGGATGTCATTTTTTGTGTTTCTTAGCGGAATAAAGCTGGTTGAGACATTCCAGCTCTTTAATACCAATTACAGCTGGTTTTAGCTTAAATCGAACACGGCCTTAGAGTTTATTTAAACTTAGCATTATTTGTAGAGGCAATAATTAGAATACATGTAGTCCGAAGAATAGATTTAGGAGCATGCTATTTGGGTGCCAACCGTAGCTTGTCAGATCCAAACGCATTCTCATTGGATTGGGCACGTGTCGTCAGCGTTTGACGAAAATAGTTTGACGGAATGCTTATATCGTAGAAGTACATGTTCTACGTAGTGCTTATTATAAGTACTAACATTATAATACATAGCGCCAGACTACATGTAGTAGAGTCAATATAAATTAGAACGACACGCAGTGTCAATATAATTTCTGACTTGTGAATTCTTCTGAACGGGGTTCAGTTTTTCACTGACAGTGAGCAGATATGAGAAACTCTAATGGTGACTTGAAGTATTTTATCAAAAGTGAATTCGGCTATGAGCGGCGGCAACGAAGTGCCAAGCCCACTTCATCCTATCAAATGCTACAAGTTAGTTGCGTCGAGACTTCTGATCTGGACGACGGTCGTCACTATCAGAAGTTCCGTGCGCGGTGACGAATTCACCCATTAGCTACTCGCAGAAAGGTTCGGGCAACTTTACTCAAGTTAACCCATTTAATGCGAAAGTTAACCCATTCAATGCGAATCATGACTCATTTTCCATCCCGCCATTCGAGCTTTTCCCTTCCCCATGGATCTTACCGACATCCCGTTCAACGTGCCTGTGATCCTGTGGTCGTTCTTTCGCCAAAAGACCCTGCAGAGCCCTTTCGGCACCAAGAAAGCGCACTGCCTGACCGACAACCGCGACTTCTACGAGCAAATGATCTTACGTCGTGTCCGTGACGATAAGGTCGCCATCCAATCCGTCCACAATGGGCGCTACCTTCAAGTTCGCTCAAGCGGGGAATGCGTCTTCGACTCGAAAGAGCCTGGAGAGCGTGAGTTCTTCACGATGGAGACGCACTCGAACTACTTCTGCTGTGCTCTGTACTACGTGTCGTGCAACACGGGACTCGTCCTTCAATGCGACGAGAACGATGTCGTCAAGTGTGCGAACCAGTTGCGCGAAGTTTGCGAGGCCTGGAGGATCGTGGAGCCCCGTACAAGCACTGCCCCAACTACCACCGCACTGCAGCGAGTTGGCAGCCAACGCTACGTTCTGGCCGAACAAGATCGCCAGCGTGTAGTCGAGGAGCTCGCTGGACGCGGAAAGACTCCAGAGGAGATCGAGCAAATCGTCATGATAGTCGTTGATGCTCCTGTGGCTACCGCTTCGACCTCACCTCTCGTCGTACCAGTCTACAAGGCGTAGACTCAGTTCACAGCAGCCCTGGGTATCTTCATGTTGATAACAGCGTATTAATCTCAGCGTACCGGAACTTGCTGGCTCGTACTGGAGAGTGTACCATCAGTAGACGAGAGGAGAGCCATTCGATTAGCCTCATAGTCTTCTACTAATTCATCCATCTTCACTTGAACATCATCTGAATAATCTCGCCATTGTTGCAATGCATCTTGCAGCACTGGATGTTCCATACTCAACGTCTCCACTAGCAGCGGCAAGTACGGATTCTGACGACTAGTGTTCTCATCGTACACTTGCTGGAAAGATGTAAACACCTCTGACAAATTCGCCATAGGAGCCAACAAATAACGTCGACACCACTCCACTTTCTTCTGGCCAAGATTGTGTACACGTTTGGCCAACCTACGTAGAATCTCATCCTGTGTACACCATGCGGCTCGCCAGTATTCAGCCTCTCTCCGAGCAGCCATCATGTCGTTCTCAACAGCAGTATATCTAGCATGCAGCTGCTTCAGCATCGTCTTCGCTTGTCTCTCGCGTTCTTTCCCACCCCCAAGACCTCTTGCACTGGACGATAACGTCGTCATAATATCTCCAGCTGTTACACCGTCGTCATTTGCTGCATTTCGAGTTGACGTTGGCACCACAACACCAAAAGCTGCAACTTCGAGAAGCAAATCCCGTATACTTCGTCCCAGTTCATACGCACTCGAACGTAGAGGGTCAATAGTTGAGACTTTCGGAGGACAATGCTGCAGCACTTGAGCGCTCAGAGCATCCAGTTGTGTCGATACAGCAGCCAGCGTACTCTCTAGTTGCTTCACTCTATCAACTCGCAGATGCGCGATACTTAACGGCGCTCCAGTGTAGAGCGCATTTATCTTCATCGACTTGTCCTCGCTACGTAAAAATGAGACTGACACGTCACTGACACGGAGCTTTGACTCATAGCAGACGTTCGTAGCGGTAGCTGCGCCTCGGATTTGTGCCTCTACACGCGTCAGTTCGTTCATGAGCTTATCAGGTACAGCCAACATCCACTTGACCGGCTGTCGAGCTCCAGTTTCTTCTGGTTCAGTCGTATTCTGTTCGGCGCCAGCTCTAGCTTCTTCCTTCCCAGCTTCAATTACAGAGCGCCAATTGTTCAGCGCACACATCAAATTCGTTTCAGCATCGTCATGAGCCTGCATCGCCTCCTCGTAGGAGCCTCACTTGTCGCTGAAGCTGCATGTTCTGTGCTTGCAATAGTCTCATGCGCTTCTGTGCGAACTCTACGGAGTCCAGATGAGCATCCAGCATTCCGTTGTTAGAGTTATCGGACTGGAGCACGGCGTTTAGAGCCTCTAGTTGCTTGATTTCTTCCCGCAGTTTAACGTTCTCGCTCGTTAACGCGGCGTTTTCTTCCTGTAAAATCTGCATTAAGTTCTTCTTAAACTTCGATGCGAAGTACGATGGCTTGCTTGGAAGTGTCCGCTCGATTGAAATACCCGCTCCAGTCTGGTGACGACTTGTTCGCGCCTCAAGCTCAGATTGTTCGAAAGGTGAATCGATCGTCGTGTCAAAGTTCCAATCGAATGCTGTGTTCTTTGTGTTCAAAAAAGACTGGGAGGTGATGTTGTCCATTTTACGAGTAGCTGAGTGACAGTGAAGTCGATTTGAAGTCGGTTTTAATGGAGGAAATCTCGTGCGACGTGGAAGTTCGTCGTCTTCGGTTGTGTCGTCTTGGATGTCGCCACGATCGTCTTGTGCATTGTCGTCCCTTTCACATCTTGTGCTCTGACGCGATGCAGCATAACGCGCGGCAAGTAGTGAAGAGCTATTGGTACTGACCCCACTTGCCGCACTCCGTCGCGACGATTTGATCCGCGTGAGCAAATGTCGAAATGCTTGAGCACAGCATTCTTTATCAAACACAAGCTTCTGCCACGTAATTAGCGCTGGTGCACCCAGTCTCTGAAGGAATATGGTCTTTAGTATGCACTGTCATTATTGAAGAGGTTAAGGCCAACGTACCGCCAGTTCCGCAGCTGTTACTTGCATAAAGTCTGCTCGATAGCTTTCCTCCTTCTTCCGTACCACGACTCGATCTCTAAATAGTAATTTGTCAAAAAGTAGCACTCTCAATAACTGCATCAATGTTTACTAGAAGCAGATTTACAGCTCACACACACGTCGTCGAGCAATTTGTCTGCCTTGCGCTCAAGTTTGCGGTCTCTGCTCTTGATTTGCAGCTCATCCGCCACTACACTCGAAGAGACTTGCTGCAGTACGTATACAAAGTCGATTTGACACTGAATGTGAGCTTTAGCAGTCTAGAAACAATAATAATGGACTGATCCGCACCTCTCGGAAGAGAACTATAAACACCATCTCCTTGACTCTCCACGGCATATCGCGCAGCTGTGACGCCGACTGCAGCAAGAAAAACCCACTAAAACGCATGTTGACGGACAGAGATAAATATGTAAGCCTTACCAGCTGCGCTAGCGCAGGCAGCGTCGCCAGGTCCTGGTGCAGGCGGTCCATTATTTGCGCACTAAGAGGTTATGCTATGTGGAGTACACGAAACTAAATGTTTTGTGTGTCAAACACAAAACGGATATTGAAGATGGTCAGAGCTTCCTCCGTCCGTGCCAAATTCACAAGCATCTCTCCTTCCGCGGAATGTAAGACAACTAAGCTATGAGTCCCGATACTACTTTGGTCGTCGATATTATGTCGGGGGATTGGGGGTCCTAACGTCGCAAGGCATGTGAGCTGTGAGCTTACCTGCGTGTCGAGTGCCAGTGCAATGCAGTCTGCCAGTGTCCAGTGCCCCTGTCTACAAGCCACTGTCCACTGCCAGTGTCTGCAAGACACATCTCAAGGACACTCATGCACCTGGCAGTGCAGCTTCCGGCTGCACTACAACCGGCTACACTGAGTACACATGCGTGCAATGGCGAAGAACTATACCGAAGACTGTATGCACAAGGACATCGTTAGCTATGCGCTGCCAAGATGGTGTGCTCAACGAGAGTGCGTTTATTTAGACATTTGTATTGACTTTTTTGCTATTTGTATTCTAATCTACCTGTTGCGGAACAGCGGTGTTCTGGCGGAGGCTGCTCCCCACTTTGCGTTTTGACGCCTGCCGCTTACCCGAGAGCAGTAGAGAAGAGCAGCCTCATCAGACACCGCGGTCCTGTCGTGGCCTCTTGCCCGGATTTTACGTGTTTACACATTTCCTTGATTACTTCTCTAAAGTTGATCCTTAAGTGTATTTACATTTTAATGGCACCTACTCTTAGAAGCGATCGACACATGGAGAGCAATCCCCCGTGTCGAACCCTACGTCAAGAAGTCTGTTGTGGTGGTGTATGAGGACAGCTATTGCGCTACATCTCCAATTCAACTTATCTTCACGACCCCATGCAGTGTATTTCTCCCACTGCTGCTCAGTGTGAGATGATATTTGGCGGTCCAAATGCTGGTTATGAAAAGAAGACAGTGTATTGACAATCTTGACGAGTTTGCCGACTCCAAATTCCCGTCCACGGCGTACCTGGTCATGGAAAACTACGCGAGCGGAACTAACTGCCAGGCTCTGTCTATTGGGACGATAAATGTCGCTGATGGCAAGTGCCACCTCAATGCAACTGACGACTCCTATTTTTAACGATAATTCAGCATTAAACGGCTCGATCGGAATGGCTTCGTACTCAACATCGTCTTGTAAGGAATCAGAAGCTGCTAACTTCATCGTTGATACCTGGAATGTGAACACAGACAGATGTTTTGGTTATTGAATCTTCTGTACGAGCAAAATGGTCCTTCCAATAGCTATTTCGTCGCCTATCTCAACTCCAGCCACGACCATTTCACCTCCAATAGCGTGGACTCCTATGCCTTCATAAACTTCACCTCCAGTCACGGAGATCGAAGCTCGTCTTAGCACCATGCCCCCCTCTTGGTTGTGGGATGTGACCCTACCTCGAATCTTCGAGGGATATCATCGCCGTCAACACTCTCAATCTCCAGGGCACCGTCGTATTTCGTACCGAATTCATGTCTGCTTGGGCGAAGCTTTTATTGGTCAGGTACGCTACATACAGAAGGGATTGTTTTCGCACTCGCAATCAAAAGACATGCACGGTGTCGACGAGAGCGTCTGACCGACCAGGTTGATATTGTTGGATACGTATCAGCACTCCGAGTCTGCATACATTGTGATGGTTGCCGTGCTGTCCGCCACATTTATGGAAACTTGTTCTACCGTCGACGCTGGTGTGGCATGTTCCGTCCACCAAGTTTGTGGTTACGTTTTCTGCCAAGTTGCATTACGGGCTCGAATATTCCTCCACGATCAAGTACGGGCTCTTAGCACCAAACAGTGCTGCCAAGTAATCAGTGATGCTACTCACACATCCAGGAATCACAAAGTGGGAACCGCCATCACGATGGCAAGTTACGTTTGCGGGAGCTACACACTGAAAACCTCAAGAAAATACTATTTGAATCGGAGTGTTCGAGCAGGCACTGTCATCATAGACACTCGCAACAATAAAATTTGGTAACACACCAACAATGAAAGCCGTCATATCACCTAAACTAGACCGCGCCATACTCTCATCAATGACTTCGAGCCAGATCGTGTTCGAGCTCTTTACCATGGTACAATTTGCATCACTGTACGTCGTGATTGTGGCTGAGCGGTCTAACGTGACTCGCAGTACACTCTGCGTTAGAGTAGCAGTTTTCAACCAGCCGATACATCTCGACGCTTGTCATATAATCACTTTGGCCTATCCGTCTCGCAATGTACCTTTCCACACCCAGATGCGAGACCCCTTCAAAGGCGTCACGGATGATCCCGAGATCATCCCAACCGTTTCAGTTGTAATAGGTGCAATCCGAGACCGAGTACCCTCCTGCACCTTCAGCGCAAACAGGGTCGAAGTGGTACACCTGAGGCGCACAGGTGAGTTAACTTGTTATTGACACGTATTAGGCAGGAGACTTGCACTGAGCATCCTTGTATGTAGCCTTTGATGTTTTGATACCTGTAGTGGGTAGCCCATGGTGCAAACAGAGAATTATAAGAACGAAAAACTGATACCGGCTCATGCACGCCTGAAAGGGGGTGAAGGGAGTGCTGGAAGTGACGGGGATTGAAAAATGTGACCCACCGCGCAGTGTTCCTCGCTACTCGCTCGGTTTTCTTTCCGTTATGTCGAGGGGTTTCAAAGGCGACCGCTTAGGCTTTGACAGTATATTGCTATCGAAGCAAGACCTTGAGATGCTGTATTACCACCACTGCTGCCCCGGCGGTCTATCTAAGTGCGCAGGTTTTGCTTGAGCTCTCGTGTTATCTGCACCGACACATTTTCGCCAGGGTTCGCGATCGATGGGACAGGAATAATTGGGATATGGGATATTCCATATACGACCCATCGTTCCTCATAATAATGAATAAACCACAAGTTAGTTTAGTTGAACGTTCTTCATTACCACCATGGATAATGTAATCTTACAGCAGCTACTGCTACAGCGCTACTTACTCCTACCGCATTATTAATAGTAGACGTAGTCCTCATTCTGATTTTTTGTCGCCGCCTCTTCCGCCTCTTCGACAGGGACGAACTTGTCCAGGAATTTGAGCTTGTCGTTGGAGCAATTCTTTCGATTGAAGGAGATGTATACCAGCTTCTCCACACGCTCAGGAACCAAGCGGTTCCGCAGTGTTGAATGAATAGATTTATGGTTGAAAAGTTTCTCTCCACCGCCGCGCTCGAGCAAACAACGTTGAAAGCGACGTCAGCTACAGATTGTAGCAGAGGAGCCGAGCCCAGGCCGCACCAAAAGTCAGTGACAGCGACTTTACCTTTTTTTAGCAAACCCATTTGTGTGACCCCTTCATCAAAACTACGAGACCTTGGTAACGAGTAAGTTCCACTAGCACATCGTCAGTCTGCTCAGCTCCATGCCATCCCGCCACAAATTCTTCCACCTTGGTTAGTGTAGCATAGCGCGGGTCGAGCAAGTGTCCCATGCCGTGCGCTTCACCTTAGACAAAATCGAAACGAGCCGAAATCTTCGAGCGGACAGCTTCCTGCTCGCTAGTCGTGAGCGGCGGAATTGCTTTGTGAAGAGCTAAACACATATCGAGCACTTCTGAAGTGGTCGCACGGTTCTTCTCGAACCTGCGTTGGTATTTTCCCAGAAGCTCCAAGATTTCGATAGCTTTCTCCAAATGAACCACTAGCGTTTTGCTCGTAATGAAGTCGAACACGGTCCGACGTGAAGCCTTCTTTGCTTTAGTAGGAGCACTTAGAAAAGCATGATCGGCCACCAGCTGCAACAGAACCTTTTCCGACTTCAATATTGACTGCAGACAAGCCAGAATTGAGACCCATCTTGTCTCACACGGCATAGAAAGATCCGGAAGACCCTTGTTGTCTGCGGCAACAATTAGGTTTTGCAGAGTCTTCAACTGGTACCACAGTTTGTGCTTCTTCTTAAAGAAGATAACTACATTCTTGCAGCCAGCTACGAGCTTTTCGAGCCACTTCAGCGAGAGGACAACATCTTTTCACCAGCAAGTTCAGTGTGTGCCGCGCAGGCATGAAAGAACGTTTTTGGCTGGATTTCTTGAAGTTGAGACCATGCGTTTTGATTGGCTGAAGTATTATCCGTCACGACCGCTACGAAATTGATGAAGTCGTACTTTCTGATGACACGTTGAATATCACTGGCCAAAAATTCGGAATCATGACTTAGGTTTTTATTTTATACGGATTCCAAAAAAAAGGTCTGATCACCAGAGATGACCAGGTAAGTGATTACTGCATCGCCATTGATGTCGGTCCATCCATCTGTCACAAGCAAACAGAAGTGCATAGATAGCGAAACGCGAATGTTGCTAATAGAGTCCTCGTAGCATTCATCGAGCAGACGGTCGCGGATGAGGTACTGGCTTGGTATCTCGATCATAGGGTGTAGAAGACGAAATACCGCAGCGCACGTAGCGTGTTGAGCCTTGTAGAACGTCATACCAGCTGAGAACATCCATAAGGCAGACATTTTGTTGAATAGGCTCTGAGTTGCAGCATCAACTTGAGGAGGGAAGTACGACGTCACGACCTCTTGACGCGGTCGCTTCGCGCATGTTTCCCGCAGATGACACTTCACACGGTCAATGTGGGTGAACCCAAGCTTGTGGATTGCACTCTCACAGCGGAGGCAGTACACGTAGTCGTCTGCATCCACGTCAACCTCGCTCCAGTCTACGTCGCGTTTTCTCGGCGCTTGGTAGTCTTCACAGTGGTAGATTTGGAAATGAACTGCGTTATGTCTTTTATTTCCTGGAACGTCCAGCTCCATTCACCGCGTTTTAGCTTAATTAAACTATTGGCATAAGAACACTGACCTTCAACACCCTTTTTAAAGTGATTGTGCGTCAGCTTATTGTTTTGACATGCATGCAGATCTCTCTGAAACCCCCGTTCGTTGCTAAACCCGAATAAACTATACGTAGTGGTCACGTT